CTATCAGAGTCTCCCTCCACCACAATGATGATCGCGATGACGATGAGATCCCACTATCTACCTATCCGTCGACCGACCTATCGGTGAATCTCACTGTCGATCTCACTATCGACCTCACAAGCAAAATCGGAAAGCCCGCCGCAGGCGCCGAACAACACTTTGTCGGACAACCACAGGACAACCATCGGCACAACCACCAGACAACGCGCCCAGGCGCCGACAAACATGAATTGATGGATTGGGTTGGGTGGATTGGATTGGATAAGATGGATTGGATACGATGAGATGGGTTGGATTGGAAGAGATGGATTGGACAGGATAAGATGGATTGGATTGGCCCGCCAAAGGCGCAGAAACACATGAATTGATGGATTGGGTTGGATGGATTGGATTGGCTGGGATAAGATAGAATGGGACAATATTGGTTGGATAAGATAAGATGGATTGGACAGGACAAGATGTATTGGCTAAGATAAGCTGGATTGGATAAGAAAGCCCGCCGCAGGCGCCGACAAAAATGAATTGATGGATTGGGTTGGGTGGATTGGATTGGATGGGATAAGGTGGATTGGATAAGATAAGATGGGTTGGATTGGAAGATATGGATTGGATAAGATAATATTGATTTGATTGGCCCGCCGCAGGCGCAGAAACAAATGAATTGATGGATTGTGTTGGGTGGGTTGGATTGAGTGGGATTAGATAAGATGGAACATATGGGCTGGATAAGATAAGATCGATTGGATTGGACAAAATGGATTGGATAAGATAAGCTGGATAGGATAAGAAAGCCCGCCGCAGGCGCCGAAAAAAATGAATTATGAAATTAGCGACATGCGTTAACGCCGGGACGCCTGGGACACCCGGGACACCGCCCGGCCCAACTGGGACACCTCCCGGCCACCGGCGGACGGGATTCCCGGCCACCGGCGGGCGGGATTGTCCCGGGTGTCAGTAGGAGCGAAAGTCCGTTTCCGAAACGGACTTTCGCTCCTACTGACACCCGGGACACCCGGGACACCGCCCGGCCCAACTGGGACACCTCCCAGCCACCGGCGGACGGGGACGGACTTTCGCTCCTACTTCGGCCTAGTTGCAGGAGGATCCCGCGCAGCTTCGCCTCGCCCGCACGCGCGACACGAACACGAAACCGAAACCGATTTCCCGGTGGGGGGTCTCCGTTTCACTGCGGTCTCACCCCCCAACCTCCGATACACATAAGAGTAGGAGGGCTATCAATGGAAGCCAGGCTGGGTTATCCGCCGGCCCCCTTGTGGAGCCAACAGGCTGCGCGGGTCAGGCGTTCCGCTCCCTGCTCTACTCCCACCTTCACGTCTCCAGCGTTATAGTCCTGCGCTCTACTTCCTATCGTAAATTGTCGAAGTCCGCGCGAGGGGGGGAGCCCCAACCGGTCTTTTTCACCACGCCCGCAACGCGTTACCTGAATTCCCGCGGGGCCGTAGGACACGGAAGCATACAAAACATTCGCGCCCCTTAACAGTTATCTGTTGTAAATTGCGCCGCGTTCGCGCGCCCGAGGCCGCGATCCCTTGTACATTACTCACGCGCGCGGCCCCGAGGCTGCGATCCTGTGTAAATTGCACAACGTTTGCGATCCCAAGGCCTCGATCCCACGTAATTTATACCACGTTCGCGCCCCCGAGGCCACGATCCCTAGCAAATTACATCAGATTCGCGTCCCCGAGGCCACCATCACCCGCATACCAGACTATATTCACGTCCCTGAGGCCACAGTCCATCGTAGACTAAATTGCGTTCGCGCCCCCGATGCCACGATCCCCCCGAAGCCACATTCCAATGTGAATTGGACCACCTTCGCGCTCCCGAAGCCGCAAATCCATTGTTAATTACGCCACGCTCGCGCCCCCGAAGCCAACAATCCGTCGTAAAACGCACCACGTTCGCGCCTCCGAGGCCACGATCCCTTGCAACATGCGCCACTGTCGCGCACTCGAAACCACGAACCCACCTCGCAGAGGCTGCCCAAACACACAGAGCAGAAAACCATACATTTTCTGTATCGGGGTCTGTGTTCGGTGGTCGCTTTTGCTCCCCCCTTCCGCAGTTTCTTGAACAAACATTCGGTGGTGGACCCGCAGCCACACATCCCCGAACACAGCGATGGATGCAGGACAGAAGACTACTCCAGCCGCGCGACTGGGTCCAAGATGGCCTCAAGCAACCGCCAATCGTACCGAGAGGGCTTTTCATGCATCACATGAGGGGGGCGCTTCGATAAGACCACGTCGCGTTGAAGACTAACCCCAACACATCAAAATGGTTCGATGGCTCCTCCGTCCTCGCATGATGCTCGCAGATGTCTTCAAAGCGCCTCCCGGACACCCCGGCACAGCTTTGATGCAGCCTATTCTCATAGAGAAGGGGTCGGCGGCAGAAGGCGAGGTCCTCACGGATACCTGGCCTGACCTGGCTTACACCTGGGCTGCAGAGGCCCCAACGGCTTGCGGGGCTCAACGATCCGGGTTGAGTGGGCTCCGCCCTTTTCTTAGCGGAATCGTCTACCCCCGGGCCCACTCGTAAGCCAGGTTCGGCCAGACACAACCCACCTTGGCTTCCACTTCTCACCCGCCGACCCCCTTGCTTCCCCCCCCCCGCGCCGATCCGAACTGCCCTCCCCCCCGTTCCTGCTGCCTGCTCCCTGCTCCTTCTCTCCCTCCCTCCGCGTGCGCGCGCCTCGCGCTTGGACAGCCCCGCGAGTGCGTCCTGCGTGCGATCGTCGAGGCGGTTCTTCTTGATGAAGTCCTTTAAGTCCCTCTGCCAGTCCTCCTTGGAGCCTCCTCAGGCGGGAAGGGGGGGTGGGGAAAGAGGGAGGGAGTGCGGGAGTGCGGGAGTGCGGGGATGCAGGAGGGAGGGAGGGAGGGAGGGGTGGGAGGAGGAGGAAAAAGAGGAGGATGATGAGGAGGAGGAGCAGAAGGAGAAGGAGGAGGAGGAGGAGGAGGAGCAGGAGCAGGATCAGGAGCAGGAGCAGGAGCAGGAGCAGGAGCAGGAGCAGGAGCAGGAGCAGGAGAGGAAGGAGGAGAAGTTGGAGGAGGAGGGGGAGAAGAAGGAGGATGAAGAGGAGAAGAGGGGGAGAGGGAGGAGGGGAGGAGGAAGAGGAGGAGGAGGAGGTGGAGGAGCAGGAACAGGAGGAGGAGGAGGAGGAGGAGGAGGAGGAGGAGGAGGAGAGGGAGGAGAGGAGGAGAGAGCGAGGAGGAGGAGGAGGAGGAGGAGGAGGAGGAGGAGGAGGAGGAGGAGGAGGAGGAGGAGGAGGAGGAGGAGGAGGAGGAGGAGGAGGAGGAGGAGTAGGAGGAGGAGGAGGAGGAGCAGGAGGAGGAGAGGGGGAGGAGAAGGAGGAGGAGGAGGTGGTGAAGAAGGAGGAGGAGGACAAGCGAGGATTAACGCAACGAGGTTGGCAGGGACCGCCGCAGGGGTGCATGCTACCTGCACGTGTGCCTCTTCCCTCACCTCAGGTCTATCCTTGGCGGAATTTTTGGGGCCAAATCAAAACGGCTTGTTCGTGGTGGGGCGCATTCCTTGCCACGTAAGGTTTAAACGTCCAGAGATCGTCCGAGGATCCCCCCCACGGGAACTAGTCAGACGTTCGATCCATCGGTCCGTGGCGTACCTAGCCCACGACCGACATAATACTTCTGGGAGGCGCAGCACTTGGTGACTTGGTGGTCTCTGGCGAGTGGGCCCGTTCGATCCTGCCTCCGTCCCCGTCCAGGAGCTCCACAAAGGGGGAGGGGGGGTGGGACCAGGCGGCGGAGGTAGAAGTCCCACAAGCTCCTTCACGTCCCCGCTGGGCTCGGGGTCGGGGGGCCTGGGATGGCTCGGAGCCTCCGTGGGATTTTCCGAACGGGGGTGTCAGCGAGCCCTTGCCCAACTACTCCTACACAGGCTACGGACTCAAACGCACCTGAAATGAGTTTCAATTGCTGTGCAATTCCGTGCCATTGAGCGTGTTGTTGCTGCTCGGCTCCAAGCTTATCATACCCGTCGGCGAATTAATTTCCTATGACACGCGAGGGAGGCCATGCGGGCCCGCTGCAATCTAGTGGCGTGCGCCTTCACTTTGCTAAAGCTCACCCCCTTGGCCCTCTTCTTCCATTGTCCTCGATCTTCGCCCAGCACTCCCGCCGCAGGTCGCTGTGCAGGGTGGCTGGGCGTGCAGCGCAAGCGGGGCCGCGCGCGAATCCGTCCAGGATGGCCCGGCAGTCAGACTAGACGTGGAGGGGCGGGCAGCCAACCTGGAGGACGCGCAGCACGGCTATCAGCTCGCTTTTGTAAATGCTTTGGTCCCACTGCGCGCCTGGGGGCGGTCCGTAGACCGCCAACTTCAGCTCGCGGCTCTCCGTCAGCTGCACGGAGGACCGACCTCCTCTGCGCAAGGCCGCGTAGGCGCTGTAGAGGAGGCTGCCGTCGGTGCACGCGTCGCCCGCGATGAAGCCGTCGTAGTCGCCGTGGGCGATGGTCTCGCATGACGTCGGCAGCCCACACGGCCCAATCTCCACGGCAGGGTCATTCGCGAGGCCTTCGCCCCAGAGCTGCTCGTAGTTACCCAAGCCCTGGCCGGTCTCCCCGATGCACGACGTGGGCTCCACCGACGGAGCGGCGGTGCTCATTCCTGGCGGTGCGCGCGAAGGTGCGGTGGCGATCGGTCACTGCCTCCGCGTCGCACGCCTTGCAGATGGGGTCGGGGACAGAGCCCTTCTGGCACCGCCCCGCCACCGCGTCCGCACTCTGGTTCGGTGCGCTCGCGCCCAGCGTGATCGGCGAGCGTCTGGCGCAATGGGTCGCTTGCGCAGCGCCCACGCGGGCTCCGCGAACAGTAGCTCCAGGTGGTAGGTCTCTCCTCACTTGGCGAGCCAGGCGTTCTTGAGGCTCTGCTCGGTGGCCTGCGTCGCTCTGCGGCGGAGCTCGCGCGGCGGCAGGGCGCGCGGGTCGAGCACTTTTACGCCGATGGCGATGGAGTGCGCCGTTTGGGTCTGCCAGCCCCGGCGCCGGCCGCGCGGTGGCTATGACGGCGCCAGCGGGCCCTCGGGCAATCTGCCGGGGCACTTTGGCGCGCGCCACCCTGGGCGCCCGGCGCTTCCAGGCGGCCTGCAGGTGGCCGATCAGGTGTGGCTGGGGCTCTGCCTCGTGCCAAGCCTGCGCCGAAGCCAGCAGGGGCGCCTCGTTGGCCGTCGCACCTGGGTCCACGTCTTCCGCGCGGAGCACCTGGTGGCCGGGTCGCTCATTGGCGTTCCCGCTGTAAAAAGGGGCGACGCTCAGGTGCAGCTCCCTGGCCATGGTGTCCGACTTGCCCATGGCCTGCGCCCCGCGCGTGGGTGGTGGCAGCTTGGCTTGTCGAACGATTCTATCAGCTGGCCCACCTGCTTGTCGAATCCTGGCGATGAGATCCCGCCTCGCCGCGAAATTCGCTGCCCTCTTGGGGAAGGCTCCGAGCAGCCTTCGTCGGCCCGCAGCCGCGGCGACGCCCGAGTGGTTCTCGGAAGTCGCCATGCGCAGGTTCAGCGGCCTGATGCGCTTGGCGAGGATGGTCTGGGGCGATGGGGCCGATGTCATTGTGACGGTCTTACCCGGCTCACCCTTGGACGCCTGCATGTCCGAGGTCTGCTCGAGCATGCGCAGCGGCGTCTGCGCCGAGGCGGCGTGCCAGCGCGCCGCGAACTGCCGCGGCCCGTGGGCAGCGACCGCCAGGTCGTCGAAGAAGAGGCGCGCGTCCGCCCGCGGGAAGGCCAGCGCGACCCCGTCCAGCTCGGCGAAGATTACCATCTCCAGGCAGAAGGGCGCGAAGCGGCTGCCCGCGACGACGCCGCGCGCCCAGCGGCGCCCCCCCAGGATGGCGCGGTTGAAGCCCCGGCGCAGCCTGGTCCCCCACGCCTTGGCGCGGGCCACGAACTCGAAGCACTCGGCCGGGTCGAAATGCGTGGCCGCGCAGTTTAGATCCTGGGCGACGGTGGCCACGTAGGACAGGGCCTGGGTCCACGCCGCCCTCTCGCTGGACCTACCCCGGGCTGCCCAGTCGTAGTCCTTCCTGTTCCTGGTCGGCGCGCGGGCGGCCCCCTGCAGCCTCGCCAGCTCGGGAATCGGCCTGGGATTGCGGAAGCCGCCGCTCGGCTTGGCCATCGGGTGGAGCAGGATGGCGGTCTGCGCCGCGGGCCAGGAGGCCCCCGCCCCCGAAGCGTTCAGCGCGCCGGCGATGCGCGCTGCTCTAGCGTAGCCGCCCAGCTTCTGCAGTCGCGAATGCCGGTCGGCCTCGCTCAGGCCCATCTTGGGGCGGAAGCGGCCGCGGCTGTCCACGGCCTGCTTCGGAGTGATGGGCGGCGGCCGATACTCTGCCATCTCGAGGTCCGCATGGGCCTTCAGCCAGGCCCCCCCCCGCCCGCCAGGGCGTTGTCCGCGGCGGCCTAGGGGTGCACGAGCGCGTGGTCCTCCAAGTGTTGCGTGTCTCCGGCGGTGGCCTGCGGCTGCCGCGGGTTGGCGGGCTTGGTCCATCGGTGGGTGGCCCCGGCTCCTCCCTGTCCATGGGTGCGCACCCAGCGCCTCCAGCTAGCGGTTATAGGGCGCGATGCGCTGCCGGCCAACTGCGGCGGCCAGCGATGTCCAGCAGCGTGATCGTGCAGCTGATGTAGTGGAGCTCGCTGGCGTTGGCCGCGTCGGCGGTGATGCTGCCTAGCGCGCTCGCGATGTCTGGTCAGCACATGGTGTTCCAACTGACGACCTCGGGCCCGCAGGAGGGCGGCGCTGTGGCCGCGGGGCGGCCTTGCGTCACTTCCGCCACGCCCCGCGGGAAGTCAGGGGGTGTTTCGGCCTCAGACACCCTCAGCATCACCTCGCCATCGTTCTCGTCGCCTGCGGCGCCCGTGTCGCGCGGCCCCTGGTCGGGGGCGCGCCTGGCGAAGAGCCGCGTCGCGATGGGATGCTTGAGGAGGCCCCTGGCCAGCCAGCCCACCCTGTTTTTCATGTTGGCGTCTTCGCGGCCCTCGGCAAGCCGCGCCGACGCGCCGGCGCGCGGGGCCCCGGGCCTGCGGGCCAGCCATTCTGCGCCCTCACCCCGCGCCTGCGTGCGGGGGGCCTCCGCGACCTCGATGTCCTGCCACTTGTCGAAGTGGCCCGTGCGCTGGGCGAGCTCGTCGCCCGTGAAGTTGAAGTAGTGGTTAAGGTGGCAATGCGATGCCTGCCCCGAGCTGCTCTAGTGATCGCCGATGTCCTCCTGCCCGTGGCGACCCTGTCTTGCCAGGGGCCGCGGCCGCGGCGCTGTCGGCGCCGCGCAGTCCGCGGGCAGCGCTATGGGCCACCTCTCGGGCTTGATCAGCGCGTGGGTCTTCCTGGCCTGGTGGTCCTGCTTCGGGTTCTCCAGCGTCGCGGGCGAGCGGGGCGCCGCGCCGCGGCCGTCCTGTGCGGTGGCCGAGAGCGGGCCCTCGCCAGGCACTGGGAGACAATGAAGAAATCCCTCGCGTGTCTCTCGTTAGAAAACGCCACCCTGTTCGGCCGCGGGAGCCGCCGGGGGGCATTTTGACGTGCATGTTAATTTTCTTTGGGCGCGCCGCCGGCGCCGGCCCAGCCTGCGTCGCGGGGGCCGATCTGCCGGTCGCGCGCGATGGCCCCCCCTCATTCTGCCAAGCAGCCCTGAGGCGCGGAGGGTGGGCGGATCCATGCTCAAATCTCCGCCCGGGATCCGCGCGTGATGGGCGGCCTCCACTGTGGCCGCCCACTTGAGCAGGACGAGCTGGATCCTGGTCGCGAGGCCCTCGCTGGTCCAGAGGTGGGCGCTGCCGCAGAACACGCCCATCTTGTGCACTGCGTCCGCCCCGGCGATGGCCAAGCGGCCAGCGAAGCCCTTTTGCGAGATGTCCCAGGAAGGGATGCCGCGTCTAGCGCAGTCGATCCCATGACTACATGGCGCCTCGATGAGCACTCCAACACTTCATCCCCCCGATGTCCTGGTTCCGCCCGCCAGCCCGATGCGCCGGGCCTGCTTGTGCATGCGATTGCTGAATATGTCAAGCTTGGCAGGGTCTTCTTGGAATTCTTGAACCAAAAAGACCCCTTCGGAGTCGTTGAGCTTGATGCCGCTCATGATGCGCTCCAGCGTGGTCACCGTGTTGGCGTTGACCGTGTAGAAGCGGTGTAGCTTGTGTGGGCGGAGCCTGTAACCCACATCGCGAAATCCACTGTGTCTTGCTGATGCTGAGGGTGTGGCGCTGGGCGTGTCCAGCTTCTTTGTGGGGCGCTCGTGGGTCGCTTGCAACTCTGCGAGCGCCTTTTGCTGTTTGACCATCTCCGCCTCGATGTCGGCGATGCGGCCGGCGCTTTTCTCCTTCTGGTCTGCCACGCGGTTGCGGTCTCTGACGACGCGGCACTCTGTCACACAGCGGGGGACCTGGGTGTCAAGGCCCGCCTGGGTTTGGGCGACCTGCTCCCCGAGGGCGGCCACCTGCGCGTTGAGGGAACCAGCCATGATCGGGTCCTCGGCGATACGACACAGCTCACCCAGCCGTGCATGGAGCTGCGCGAGGTGGGCGTGCTTCTCGTCGTTGGACTGGTCAGGCTCGGTCGACTGGTGGCTCGACGCGCCGCCGCTGGCCGTGGACTGCTTTGGCTGGGCGTTCTGTTCGCCCGGCTGCTTCCAACACTTCCTACAGCACGTGTACTGGGGTCCATTCAGTGATTTGCAAGACATGGACTTCCAATTGCCCGGCTGGCGGGCTGGCATCTGGCTCTGGCCACCGTGGCCGCTCTGAAATCTGATGGTCGAACGCTCGAGCTGCCTCCTCCAGGCTCACACGCTCGAGCGCAGAATGGCGTAGGAGGAGGAGGAATAAGGAGGAGGAGGAGGAGGAGGAGGAGGAAGGGAGGAGGAGGAAGAGAAGGGATAATACTAATGATAGGAGGAGAAGGAGGAAGAAGGCTGAGGAGGAAGGAAGAAGGAAGAGGAGGAGGAGGGGGAGGAGGAGGAAGAGAAAGGAATGGCGGAAACGAGGAAGGAGGGGAATGTAGGGAGGGAGGGAAGGCGGGCGGTGGGGGGAGGAGGAAGGAGGACGGAGGGAGGGGGGGAGGAAGGGAGGAGGAAGAGGAAGAAGAGGAGGAAGCGGAGGCAAATATGAGGTGGAACATGGCGGAGGAGGACGAGGAGGACAAACGGGTGGAAAAGGGGAGCGAGAAGGAGGGAGGGAGGAAAATGGAGGGAGAAGGGAAGAGGAAGAGTAGGAGCAGGAATCGGAATACGAAACAAAGCAAAGTCGTGGTGGTCGCGGTGGTTGTGGTCGTGGGAATGTAGTAGTAGTCGTAGCAGTAGCAGTAGCAGTAGTAGTAGCAGCAGTAGTAGTAGTAGCAGTAGTAGTAGTAGTAGTAGTAGTAGTAGTAGTCGTAGTCGTAGTCGTAGTAGTAGTAGTAGTAGTAGTAGTAGTAGTAGTAGTAGTCGTCGTCGTCGTCGTCGTCGTCGTCGTCGTCGTCGTCGTCGTCGTCGTCGTCGTCGTAATAGTAGCACTGGTAGTAGTAGTAGGAATAGGAGTAGTAGTAGTAGTAGTAGTAGTAGTAGTAGCAGTAGTAGTAGTAGTAGTAGTAGTAGTCGTGTAGCGCTGGTAGTAGTGGTATGTAGTAGTAGTAGTAGAGTAGTGTAGTGTATGTAGTAGTGGTAGTAGTCGTAGTCGGTAGTAGTAGGAATTAGTCGTAGG